AAAAAAAAAAAAACCAAAAGATAGGAAGCACAGGAGGGGATATGGGAAAAAGGGAATCCTTGCATACTGTTGGTTAGAATGTAAATTAGTACAACTTACACCTTTAAATGAGTATATTAGGAATGATCAGTGTTAAAGTTTCTAACAGAAAAAGCAAAAAAAAAAAAAAACAAAACCAAATGATATGTAAAGCAAGTGATATAAAAGGAAAAAGAAGAAATCAATAAAATAACAAGATAAATATTAGAAAAATACAAAACTTGTTTTGTTACAAATATTTTTTAAAATTAACTAACCTCTTTATAAAAGTACAAAAAAATGTAGAAAATATCAATAGCATGAATGTAATGGAAAGCCTAAATAAAGATTGCACAAAACTTAGGAGAAATATTAACCAAAAAAACTTTAATGCCAATAAATTCAACAGAATTTCTAAATAACATTTATCAATACATTTCGCAAAATAAAAATTATAGGTCTAAATGGCTTCACTGACAAATTCTATCATACATTAAAAAAAAAATACAAAATCTATTCAAATGCTCCAACCACAATGAAAGGAAAAACATAACTTGACTTATTTTATGAGCCCATCATTACAATGATATTTAAATCAGATGACATTATAAGAAGCTATAGACCAATATTCCTCACAAATATTGACCCAAAGATTATCAATAAACCATATCCAGCTATATGTAAAAAGAAAACTCTACTATGACAAAGTAAGGATTATCCCAGGAATGCAAGATTAGATTAATATTTACTGGCAGTCTCAACTAGTTGATTAAGGTAAGGAGAAAAACAGTGTCTATCTCCAGTTGATGTTGATTGTGTACCAGGAAAACACTGAATACTAAGGAATCAACAAGAATAATAACAAAAAAACACTAGAACAAACAAATGACCTTAATTAGCAAGGTCAAAAAATACAATGTTAATATTTTTTAAATCAATTGTATTTCTATATACAAGAAATAAACTCTAGAATTTAAAATTGTAAACATTATTTATAACTGCATCATAACAAGAAAATTGGGGATAATTCTAAACATGATGTGTTTGCTAAACTTCTTTGCTAAAACCTATATAAAGTTAAAAAAAAACAGGCTTAATACTTGTTTGCTAAAACCTACATAAAGTTAAAAAAAACAGGCTTAATAAATTTCATATTCAAGGATTAAAAGACTCAATAGTAAGATATTATACCCATTCTTAAATCTATATATTGAACATAATATCAACAGACGAGCAAGTTCTTTTCTAAAAAGAACAAACTGATTCAAAGATGTACGAGGAATTAACATTCCTTATCATTAACACCCTAAAGATACAGGGTAATCCAAAAACCTACCATCATATTCAAAAAGTAGAAATAAAAAGAATCATACTGAGAGATAAAGGACTTTATAAGCTTACCTTCTGAAACTTTTCTAATTTACTATTATCTAAGTACACAAACATATGAGTCTTTAGATTTCTCCCCACTGCCAAGCTCATGTATTCATAATACACTTTGTATTAATCCTCACACAAAGAAATTACTTAAAAGGTAACAATATTAACAATATTCATTAAAATAAAACTGAGTTGTAATCTAGTGTTAATCGGGGAATACTTCATACAGTATATAGAGACCATACATCATCTATCTATAAGTCTCTTAATTATGCTATCTTACTAGCATATTAACAGAAATTCAAGGCCATCTTCAGACATTACTATTTGTACAAATTTTCTTTCAGTTGCCTATAGCAAGTTCTCAGAATATGACTAAAGTCTGTCAAAGACTCAATAATAATACTAAAATGTGATTCATCTTTCCATACTCAATTCTCATTATAACTAAAAATATAAGGCACAGGTTTTCCAAAGGTATATGTTACAATGACAACAGATAAAATGCAGAGGCAAAAAATAAGAACTAATTTGTTTTCTTTTATGCCAGCAACTAAAAATACTTGCAAGGCTGCTCTTTTTTTTAAAATCTTGGAATGTCATTAATTTTTGTTTTTATGTTACTATAAAGTGGATATATAATTGTCATTTTAATCTTAAGTAAATAAATATTATTTTAAATTCTCAATTTTACTCTTTCCTATGGTAAACACTGATATATAGACACATTAATAAAAGTTCTTGGGCAGGGGATTTAGCTCAGTGGTGCTGCCACCTGCCTCGCAAGCACAAGGTCCTGAGTTCAATCCCCGGTATCAAAAATAAATAAATAAATAAATAAATACAAGTTCTTTGAGTCCTCAAAAATTTTAAGAATATAAAATGGTTCTGATACCGAAAACATTAAGAATCACTACAGTACAGTAATAACTTCTAAGCAGTACATGTGGGGAGAACAACCCTAATTATGAAAAGGAAGAACAAAAAAAATTATTTGAAAAAGGATTATCAAATGTTAATGTTCAGATTTTCTTAGTTGGACATTATATTAAGCCTCTTGCAGATCTAGTAAAATTCACCAGCAAAACAATAGCACAAGGCCCACATATGCAAGACAGACACACAGCATTTCTCAGTATAACTACTTGTTTTCCTTGTGCCCATCATAATGGATCCCTACTGTAACAGAATGGAAAAGTTTTTCCAAGTTCCTTGTCCAACTATTAAAGTTAGACATTGCCTACATAGTAACCCTGCCACTACTCTCCCAAACTCTCCTCTTAACCTCTTGTGCTTACCTCCACCATGCTCACCACATTCTAATGTATTGTACCTTGACCTATTTATTGCATTTATTTTCTGTCCCCCCACTCAATATAAGGTAAGCTATGTAAGAGCCAAGTTTTATTCTGCCTCATTTACTGATGTGTCTTTGGCACCTAAAAGAGTGCCAAACACAAAATAAATAATTTTTGGATGAATTAATGGGGGTTTTACTGAAGTAAAATGTAAACTGTGTTGTTTTACCAGGTAGAAGAGACACCTTAGCAAACCAATACCTGCACTCAGACAGTGGATACACACGCTGTGCACATGTGAGGGATGCTATGACTAAAGGGAAACTCTTGCAGCTCAACAGCTCCTCTTCTAGTCTCAGAAATGAAGAAAGATAAGACAAGAGACAAGAAAGGCAGATGGATATGAAAACAGTTCAAACTAGAGGCAGTACAAGTAGGCTTTTTTCCAAACCTAGCATTCCATGAATACAAACAAAGAAAAATAAGAATAAGAAGAGCTAACACACCTCTCTTTTCCTGATGTATTTCTTCCAGAAGCTGCTCCTGCCTTTCTATCTGTTCAAAGAGACACTGCAGCTCAGATTCCTTGTTCTGGGACAGCTCCCTGAGTTGCTGTCTGCATAGCATCAGCTGGTGTCGCAAATTCTTCTCTTTGTTTTCTCTTTCTTTTAGTTCCTCACAGAGCCACTGAAGTTTAGTCTAAAACATGAAATATCTACTTTAAAAAAAAAACACAAAAATCCAGAAGACAGTAGCATTTCAAATTAATGAAAAAATAAAGCAACGTGATCAGAAAAAAATACAGATGACTATGTCAAATTTTTTAAATCCATGTTTTAATTTACATACAAGTTTTTAACAGCTAAAATCAGGTTCAGAAATGAAATCATAATGTTCTTAGATTTTTATAAAATACTTGGTATACTCTATCATCCTCAGAAAGGAAACATCACAGAAAAGCTTGACTATTACATCTCTAATCATACTACAAGTGATGCCCTGATCTGACATGTAAAGCAGTCAAGACAACCATGTGAAAATAAAAAGCATCCCAGGATAGGACTATTTTATTTCAGAGACTTTTAAGAAAATGAAGATAAGATTCCTAGTCATGATGGCTAAAAATGCAATAGGTCCAATGAATCAGATAGAGGGAGAGATTATCTATAAACCATGGGAATGAGGTCAACATTTTCCCACATTCAGGAGGCTAGGAATTCATCTAAAAAGTAAAGGTTTGTGTTTTATCAAGAGAAATTATCTTGTTTTCTGCTATTAGCTTTTTGATTACCTAAGAAACCATGTATTAACATAGGATTTGATATTTGAAATTGTATATCTGAGACTAGATATGTAGGCATCTGATTACTAAATATGCTGTCTAAATGTGCATTTGGAAAACTAAAGATATATAAGTTTGCTATATGCATAGCTACCAGTAAGTGCTCTCTTTTACAAAGCATTTGGACCTTAAACATATAAAATAGTAACTAAAACTTAACATTTCTGCTGTTATTCAGTATCATTCAGGTGGGGAAAAACCTCACCACTTGGACAATCCTGCCACTTAAAATATGGTCTACATTTATGGGCTTTAATTAAATAAGCATTTTTGTTAGTATATAAATGAGATACACTTGTACATCCAGTAGTGAGTCTATCTGTGGTCATTAACAAAGTTTTCTGAGCTTGTAAGAAATCTAAAGCCACTCTCTCATTTTTCAACACTATTGTTAAATTTTGTAGATCTGTTAAATACAAAATACCATGATCATAGCTATATGCCTGAGCCACAGATTCAAATTTTCCCCTTAAATAAAAAACTAGGTTGATATGTAAAAATTTTTATGTAACTGTGATACTAATTACTGCTGACTTTTTCATGTGTTAAATGCATTTGCATTCCCAAAGTTTACAAACCTTCTAAAGTAAAGCACTTGAGGAAAACACTTTAACATACTGCTCCTCTTCCCCCCAAGCTTCCAAGAATCAACATTGTTTGTAATAATAGACATTTTTTTGGTTGCGTTCCTAAATGTATTAGGATAATTTATATGCCTATACATGGTACGTTCCAAAATTAGTCACCTAATTTGCTTACAGCTTACATCTGTAAGCAAATACTTAAAAGGAACCTACTTCTGACAAAACTAGACTTATTCTGTTTTTTAAGTTATTATGTTAACTGGATTTGTTCTGCTTTTATCTTTAAGATTTTCCTTGTAAAACTTTTTAACTGTGGTCTGTTAACATTCTTCAGAAGCATGACTTTTAACAGATAACCTGAATAGTATTTTAACATGATAGGTGATTACCTATATGATAGATGAGATATGATACTGACCCTCAGTACCCAGAGGAAATTCCAATAGGATCAAAACCTACTATTCCCACTTTAAGACTGGTGTTACTGGCCTTGTAGGTATTCAACAACAAAGGCCTGGAGACCAAAGCTAAGGAAGACAAAAGGGCAAAGAGAATAACCAATACTTTTGCCCTTACCCTCCAAGGTCACCTCTGACTCAGGGCACAATGGGACCTCAATGAAAGGGTCCTACAACTCCAGTGAGTCACGTAACCTCCCAAGCAGGGGCATCTCAGACCCCAGAGGACAGGAGTCAATGTGCCTTGTGCTAAAAGGAAGGTGACTAAAAAGAGGCCTGTCCCATGCTTCTAAGGGAAGCCATGTGACCAAGCAAGACCATGGCCCATCATGGCAGATAATACAAATGCTAATCATCTAAGGGAGCCAAAAAGGCTCTTTGTGCATTCTTAAAAGTAACTGGAGAAGACTTGCTTGACCTTAATAGTAAAAAGGAGGTTAATTCTGATTACTGACTTGGTTTTAAATGTTCAATGGCCAAATATAAGAGAGTAAAATAGTTAACATTTAAAAAGAGAGAAAGGAAGAGATTATCTTTTTTGTCTTCTCCATAAGATCAAGTCATTCAGGGAGGAATGATAGAAGCCTGAAACAGGAACGGGTTAACAGCCAAATTCCTCAGCCCTTACCTCCTAGTCATTAAAAGTGTAATTTGTGTTTTCTTCTGGGATAGTTAAGAACTTAAAAGCCATTTTTGCTATGAACCATGATTCTTCACCAGGGTCTATAGATGTCCAAGAAGTAACTAAAAGCAGAGCAAAGTTTGAACATTTTGTGTCGTTGTTACCTTAAAACTTTAGAACAAATCCCTTTTGAACTTTGCACATAGGTTTGTTAATATTTAGGGAATATCATCTGTTTAAAAGTTAGCAAAATAAGGTTAATTAGTCCTGAATTTATATAACCTCACTTCTTCAAGATTAAAGACACCAGAATCAGGTATTTCCCAGAACATTCAACATTGCCTGGAATGCATTATGTATATCATTATGCATTATGCATATCATTATGTATATCAAAAGTGTACCGATAAAATTAATTTTAAAAAAGAAACAATGCCTGAAAGCCTCAAGTTATTGTGCTAAATCTGTAATCACCTAGATTTCAGAAAAGGCAGAACCTTACCTGATTCAGACCATCACTGACACAGATAATCCTTAAATGGAAAGGAGCCCACCACTTAGCCAAAAGATTCTAGAGCTATGATACTAGGACTGAGATAATGATCCCACCCCACCAGCTATTCCTTAAAAGCTGGTATCCCAACTCTGCAGGTAAGCCAGCCTGAACTCCTGTACTAGAGTGTGCCCCTCTCGCTACCTAAGCTACCTTTCTTATCTACTAACTTTCAAATTAAAGCCTTTTATCCTGAAGAGAAAAAAGAGATTAAAAAGTTAATGAAGGCAACTGTTTTTCACAGTCTCTAACTTCTAATCTTTATTATTTAGGTACTGGAGGCAAAAATGTGAAAGAAATGTTTCTTCAACCCTTAATACAAAAGGATTAAGTCATGTCTCAAGGCCTTTCCAAATAAGGCCACCCCAAATCCCCAGTTGGTTTTAAACAATCTAAACAGTCCTTACCATAATAAGAATCAAAATGAGTGAAGGAGAATTAAAAAGGGAAAATCAGGCTTAAGTTATTGGCCAGTTTCCTTGAACAGCACTCACTCATAAGTAGGAAAGTTCTAGACCTCTACAAGTGTCAAGACCTCATATCTAAATGGGCTGTGTAGAAGATATAATGAAGTAAAGTTGAGATATGGCCCACAGACTAAGGCCTCCTCACATTTATCAGCTTTCCAACACTCCAGCACGAGAGAAAAGTCACAGCACCTTTTGTCAGAAGGCCTATATAACACACAAGAGCTTCTGTGACATAAAACAAAAATTATCAGTTTCAATCCCAGTTTAATGTTTTTACCCAACAATTTAAGAGCACATATAGAAAATAACTTCACATTTCCTCAATGCTTTTCTACCTACCTCATCTCAATCTCTGACCTCTGCTTACTACCTAAGGTCACTACCATTGATAAGTGGTAATAGAGAACAAAAAGACAAAAAATCTGGTTTGTCCTAACAATAATCCACTGGTTCTCATAAAATTAAAATAAAATAATAACAAAAAAATCCAGAAATAAAGTACTGGAGCAAATTTGTTATGGATTAAACTGTATCCTTGCAAAACTCATATCTGAAAGCCAAAACCCCAAGTGCAACTGTATGTAGAGACAGCTTTAAGAAGGTAATGAAGTGCAAATGAAGTCATAAGTGTAGGTCCCTAACCTGACACTATGCCTGGAGTTCTCATAAGAGGAACAGATGCTAGAACAAACTTTCCCTTAAGAAAGATCAAATGAAGGCTCAGAAACAGTTGCCTTCCACAAACTAGGAAAAGAGATCTCACCAGACAATAAACCTAGCACCTTGATCTTGGATTTTCAGCCTGCAAATCCCTGAGAAAATGAACATCTGTTATGTAAGCCAATGTTTGGTGTTCATTACTGTAGCCCAAGCAGACTAACATAATATAACCCACAGTTTAAATTTACTCTATGAAGCCTTTACTCTATTATCAAACAAAATTAAAAACAGGTTATAATTAGGTACAGAAGCTTGTTGCAAATTGAATATGAATGCAGAGTATGTTATTAACCAAAAACAAAAATATCAATTTATGGAAATTTAATCAACCAATGATCAATTATGACAATCAGTGTTTGTTAGATAAAATACCCAACATCTTCATAAGTATCCCAGAAAAGCAGCTTGAAACACTGTACAGGAATAACTTGAACAATTCCAAATAATTAGTTGACAAGTCTATTAATCATAGAGCAAAACTCATTCCATTAACCACTCACAGGAGCATTTTACAGATTACATAACAGCCTCATTTATTTAACTACATCAATAAGCATTGTTAAATAAACAAAAATAGAAAATTTCAAAGTAAAGTAGATTTTTACCTTCATAGCTGCCAGCTCCCAATGAGGTGGGAATATTTGCAAGTATCTACTAAAACTATAACAATGATCTTTTTAATCTGTGAGAAAACTTCACTGAGTTTTAGTGTAAAAATAAAGTCACAAGGAATGAGTTAAAAGCTAAAAACAAAAGGAAACAAAACTGGCAAATAAAAAGACTACAGCTTACAGAATTAGGAATATTATTAGATTCTATAAATTTGCTGCTTTAACTACTATGTTTCCTTCATCAAAACCCTCAAAATAATTTTGAAATTAAATTCTTATACAATAGCCGGGGATTTAGCTCAGTGGTGCCACACCTGCCTCGCAAAGCACAAGGTCCCAAGTTCGATGCTGGGTACCAAAAAAAAAAAATTCTTATACAAGAACCAGAGGGAAAAAAAGAAAAGAGAAGGGAAACTTTTTAGAATGTGCCAAAACAAGAACTAAACCAGAACTTCAAAATCAAATCCATATCAATCTAAAATTACAATTGTAATTTTATAATACTTTCTCCACGTCTCACTTAGTTATGAGTTAAGAAGCAAAAATATCTCTATATTTTAATATATAAAATACTTTTCCTCTGATGAAACTAAATGTATTACATTTATACAATCTAAAGTACATTTCCAAGAAATCAATCAAGATACTGAGAATAATGTTTTCACTTTTGTATCAGAAGGATAAAATACTAGATATTTACACCCTCAAGAATTAAATACATTGGGTCTAATACTTCTTATCCTATGACTTTAAAAATATTTTTATCCCTGTCACTTAGAAGACAATATTCATAAATGCAAAGTGTACGCTCAAGTGTAGATTATACAACTAATGGAGAAAAACAATGGCATAGAGTTCAGCAACTCAAGTTCTAAACCCTTCTCAGTAACTAGTTAGCTTTATGCCCTTAGGTTAAATTCAAAACTACCCAAGCCTCAGTTTTCTTACCTACAAAAGGAGGAAGGTCAAACTACATGACCTCTAAAGCTGCTGTGTCAGTTGTACAGCAGGGAAAAGCAAATGTTTTCCAATGCCTAGAACACATTATAGTATAAAAAATATGAGTCCTAGAGATGATGCCAAACAGGGTAATACAGGAAAATCCCCAAACAATGTAGAAGTATATTAATATCACAAAGTTTACAACAGCTCTGATAAATAAAGGCAATGCTTGGGAATTAAATATGTTTATTGAAATCTCATCTGTTTGCTATTTGTTCTTCTATAATGTATAAGCTCAAGAAGTACCTTGAATGAACTCGAGGCAATCGTCCTGCTTCAACCTCCTGATTGCTGGGATAACAGCCCTCACCACACTGCCACAGTGACTCTCCCTGCTATGTGGTTCCATCCTCAGAGAGTACTTGTCTGCTCTGGATTTGAGAAACTGTCCCTACTCTCTCACTGGGAAACACTTTGCTACTTCTCATGATTTGAACCTAAATTCTGATCTGTGCCTGTCTACTTCTTTTGAGACTTTCCTGACTGAACAGAATTTTCTGTTTATCAATCCCTGTGGTGGAATCTCTGTCAATAACTATTGCTGGCTTGTCTGCCAGGTCTCTGCATGCCCGTTTATTCTGCTACTACTAACCCTTGCCTGGAGTCTCCTAGTTTGGCTTGAGAATCTAGATAGCTCCTTCTCCATCACCTTCTCACACAACACTGATCATCACTCGCATATTATCACCAAAATATCACTCCTGTCTTTCATTGCTTTGGAATCTCTGAACAATTTCCTTAGCTCTGTCTCATCTGGGCGATGGGAAAAGCCTCTTAACTGAACTCTCTGCCTTTGATCTTAGCACCTCTAATCCACCTTTCATAGTCACTATCAGAGAAATACTTCTAAAATACTAATATGAGCGTGTCACTCTCTTGTTCAAAACTCCTTTGCAATTCTTCACTAATGCAGATCTGGATCCAAGCTCCTGAAAATGACTTGCAATGTTCTTCTCAATGAACCTGATCTCTGTATCTACCTGCAACCTCCTACCCTGCCATTCTGTCTTACCCATTCATTTGCACTTGCGCCAAGTTGCTTGGGGCTTCTTTGCTTTCATTATACTGTTTCTTTCCCAAGCCATCCCTAGATTGTTTTCGCCTACATCATTCTCTTTTTCCTTTACCTGCCTGGTTACCTTCAACTTTCACCTGAGACATGAGGCTTTATGGTACCTTCTGTATACTTCTATCTCAGCTCTTACACTTATTTAAATATTGAAATTACCTGTATATGTGTGTGTGTACTTTCTGACAAGAGCAGGTTTCTGAAGAAGCAGAATCACGTCTCATTCATTTTATGCCACAGCATGTAACATAGCATCTAAGATATGGGACATACTCAGGAAATTTTGTAAAGCTGAATAAAACTTTACCTCTACATGCCTTGCTAGAATTTATGACAAAAACATCCCTAACTCCTTCCCTGGCATTCCTTGACAATCATCATCTCAACCTTATTCCTTCCTATAAAGTATCATCCTGACTTTTCATTGGTTATTTTATCTGTAAATCTGTTCCAACTCTCAGGTGGACTTCACATTTTGTTATACCACTGTCAACAGAGCAACAGTGATAAAATCCCCACCCAATCCTCTAGTTCTGCTAGAATTAAAACAGAAGAAATTCATTTAATAGATTTATGAAAACAATTACCAAATGCCCTCAGAGGTCCTTCCAATACTGCAAGATGTCAGCATGGGCTAACTGAATAGCAATTCTACTTTCCATACAGTATTTGTCCTCTGATTTCAGATCTTATCTTCAATACTTATAGAGCTGTCCAGTCACAGTTCATGGGAATTACAGTATTGTAGACCATCAATAACCTAGGCCATCTTTCTAGTAAATAGGTTCAATTCCTCCTTAGTCAGTTGGTCAGCATAGTATTTTTATCACAACCCTTTTACACTATAAAAGGCACAGTTGTCTCATGCAGTATTAAAACTGCTCTGATCAGAAGTTCAATCCTATTAAATGATAAGGAAAACTGCTCACTGGCTCCCAAATTAAAGAGCTATGATTAAGAGTCATCTCTGACTCTCATAATTTAACTGAACCACAGCAGTGAAAGCTTTCTGTTCAGAAATGATAACGAATTTAACTTGAAAGGAAATTCCAAGTACACTGCTCTTGTCAGAACTGCGGCATTGAGAAAAAGAAAAAAGCTGTATTAATGTACAAGAGATTTGTCTGGCCAAAAATTTTCTGAGAGAGCAAAGTATGCATATTCTAAGTTTCTTATGCAGGTGGCTGAAACATTAATTTCCATTTATTCCTATCAAATGGTTAGGAATGTACAGGATCACATTTTAAAAGCTGAAGAGGAAAATTTTGAAGATGAGTTAAATTCTCGTGCTCAATCATAATCATTTTCTTTTCCTCTTAAGAATGTTTTTTTTTTTAAAGAGGCTTGTCTAATACATCACTGTCCTTCAGAGGTGACTCTGATCTTCACCCCACCTTTCACCTGCACGTTAATGTATAATCTTGGCGCATGATCCATGCTTACTCAGATAACCTCATCTTCTTGCCATTGTTCTGTCCATGATCAGCCAATTGGAGAGCTTCTTTGCATTTCTTTTTTTTAACAGTAGCAAAGTTTTATTAAAAGTAGGAAAAGAAACAGGCTCTGGAGAGTTTGGGCCAAGTAAAAGTAGGAAAAGGAGTACACTCTACAGTGTGAGGGTGGACCACCATGCAGGAGAAAATACAGTGGCCTTCTACCTATTTTCTTAAGACCAAATTTAAATACTGCTTTTGTTGCACAGTAGCTAGCTTTCTACAAAATTCTTCTAGAAGCATACTGGTTCTGCCACCTTCTTAGCACAAATACCAGAGTTAGTTCTTCCTTCTTCTATGTCCTCTGTCGGTGTTTATGTGTACATATAACAATATCACACACTTCAAAGATTTTTCAAAATGTGTTTACATCTCAGTTTTCTCTATTAGGCTTTACACTGCATGAGCAAAGCGCATGGCTTGCTAACCCTCATATCCACAGGGTGTGTCACAACATAGAACACAATCAATAAATCTTAGCTGAATAAGCAAAGACTTTAGATGACAATATATACAATGGTAAGACATTAATTATGAGTTGCACATGGCACATAATCTGATTTTTCCATTCTTTACTTGGCACTAGAAAAGTTACTTTCCTTCTCTGAGACCTGGTTTGTCTTATTTTTCAAGTATGAATAATAAAACAAAAGGATTCTTTCTTATTATAAATTCATTAGATTTACAGTGCACGTGGTTTCCTACAGAATTTAAATGAGTTAAAAGGTTTTTCAATATTAGCATCTTAAACTGAAGGAAAATAGACTAAAAAGGAATGAAGTACATAAAACTCAATACTTAAATACCTACAACTAAACTGATCATAATATCCCATATATTTTAATTAATGAATTGCCAAGTTGATCTGAAATATTAAAATAGCTAATTATTCTACACAACAGTAATTCTTTTTAATAAAATTAGAAAATTATTCAATTTTTTTTTGCTTACTTTCCATTAAATTTAAAGTATAATGCCAAAGAACCACAAAGCAAGGAAGCTATTTTTAGAAGAAAAATTTTATCCATCTCACTTTGTGAACAACATCAAAAGAGCTAAAAAGATGTGCTGTCTGCTTACACCACAGATGTGGCACAGGCACGGATGATTCCATGTAAGCCCTATGCAGCTGGCAGGTTTGTTTGCTCTTATCTAGAAGAACCAAAATATATTAAGTTCATAGGTCTACAATGAAGATTAGTTCTAGATGCCTTGACCTTTGTAAAAAGCCAGAGAAAATAAATTCCCAACCCAAGAAGAAGGCAGAAGAATACATCTCTATAACTATCTGATCCTTAATATTTCAATAGTTTAATCTTCCTTTATTCTCTTACGCGAGGCCTATATATTAAAGCTGATTTTTAAATGTTAAATTAAGAAACATGGAAGTGTTTTAAATATGCTATCATGATATTTTCCCTTACAATGAAGTATTATAGCTTCATATGCTCAGTAATATTTCAAAACATATGAATAAACCAATAGGGTGGCTTAGAGATCATAAATATTATGATAACTTTAGGATGAGCAAGTATATTTACCTTACTTTCTGCTAACCAACGATGTGGGTCATAATATACATCAGGGCCAGAAGATAAAACCTACAAAAAAAGAGGAAAGATTACAGAAATGGATTTTTCTGTGATATGAACTTGCATAAATTAAAAGTTTGGGGCTGGATATCCAAAAATGCACTCCCTGGACCTAAGGATTTAAAAGAATAAAGTTGTGCCAAGTATTAAACTAATTCCAAACCATTTGTTAAGTGCCTATATATGTTTATTTACTTACTATTTATTGGCAATAAAAATCAACTATCCAGTATTGTCATCATGAGAATCTCAGACAGACTCCACAGAGTTTTACATGGCAAATAGCCTTGATTAAAGCCAATTTACTTCATTTTTCTTTATTTTTCTCAGTCTTGTTCTACATAATGCAGGTTTAAATGTGATTACATGGAAACAATGTTTTTCTCATTTATCCTTCTTTAATTTAATACTACGAAGGTCATTTTGTCTCATCAATGACTGTGAAGAACAGATAAAAATTCATCAATATGACCTCACACAAATATTGGTTTATATTTCAACATAGTAACAAATTCTGCAATAAATTATTGTCTGTATTTATCTTTACACCAATTCCTTGCCATTTAGTTTTTTGTCTTTTTACTGATGTACAATTATTCTCAGAAGTTGGCAATGACTTTATAATTACAAACAAAGCCTTTATATCAGTCCTGCTTTCTTTCAACCCTGCACTACATATACTATCATCTTTTTAGATGCATTCTGTGTAAAAATATCCAATCTGTCTACAAAGTGATATCTATTCCGATTCTCAAACACTTCCATATCTCCTCATATGTGAGCACATTAGAACCCTATCAAGACTATCTTTAGATAATTCACTTAGACATACCACAAATGTATATTAAGCATCTATCATATGTCATATACAACAATGTATTCCTATATTCAATCTTTCATCCACCTTTCTATTTAAATCTCATACTATTCTCTTCTTTTTCAGTGCAATTCTTCCTTATCACTCTAGTATTCAGTGTTTTCTTCCTCTCCTAACTCTACTGTGTTGTTCACCATGTGTCAACATCCATTTGTCACTGATTATAATATACTTTTGTTTTTCATTCACCTATGACATATACTCAACTAAATCTTTCTTGACCTCACGCTCATGACTGAAGTAAAAAAATAATCTGATACAAAGAATACAAGTAATGTTCTAATTTTATGATTTGGTTCACAGATTTATAAATGACTTCATGTATAAGGAAAAAGCCTTGATCATTTCTAGTGGTGTAGCTTAATTGCTCTACATTGCAGCTTATTACCTAAAAAGTATACAATCAACCTCGTAAGGCCAAGTATAGATCAAATAAAACAAGCATTAGCACACTTTCTAGCCCACAGAATATACTATCACTGCATATCAAGATATCATCATCAATAAACAAACTTCAAGGTCTGTTCTGCCAAGAGTACTATAACAAGTATCTGTCATTAGAAAACGATAGAGGAGCCAAATGTCTATGTGAACATCTTACCAAAAACACACCAAATAGTAATGATAGCTAACATTAGTTCACTATCAAGAGCAAGGTATTTCATATTATAATGTACCATTTCTATATGTTATTTTACTTTATCCTAAGGAGCCAACTTGTACCTGAAGATGGGGGTCCTGTGGGAAGATAGAGATTGCACAACTTGTCTAAGATCATGTGTTAGAAATGCATTAAACCTACATCTTGGTCCAAAACCCACCCTCTTTTTAATCTATAACAAAATGAATATTGAGTCCAACCACTATGTGAAGAGATAGATTCAAATGAAGATATCCAGAGCTGAGCTACATTTAGCTGAGCTCTTATATTATCTAAGACTGCTCTATAAGAATGAGTACTTTAATCCAGACAGTTTTGTAAAGGTTTCATAATGGCAGTGATTTAATCTTACGTCTGTCTTTAAGTTTTCTTTACTAAAGTTTAATGGTTAGCACATACGCTGGCCAGTAAAAAAAAAAACTTTAACTAGAGATAATATAATATTCTCCAGAATGTTTCTCCATCTGTTATTAAATCCATTCCATACCATAGCCCCTATATAAAATGAATGAAAATTTTATCAGCAACATTTCATACCTCAAGAAATAAGAGATAATTGGAAATACTCCTTTTTTTGAAAATATTATAAACGCTTCTTCTGCCACTCTCCCATAGAATTATAAGGTAAAAAATCAGACTATCTTTAACAAATCCATTGGTGGTTTTCTTGTGGTAACACCAAATACTAAATTCTTGGGTATTAAATTTTTTCAAGTGTGTAAGAACAAAATAGTGCTAGTGGGAAGAGACCCACAATGAAAATATACACTCTTCTATATTTACTTTCTACCCATGACTTGAATTAAATTAGTCTTTCTCTAACTGAAGAAGTATAAAAACTACCACCATCATTCCATGCCTGAAAACTTATGAATGAATAGGATGATTTTTGGATTATGTTGAGAGGTCACTTTGTGCCTTATAAGGAAATACTTACTCTCCTGTCTATGCACCATGTTTTTGCCTGCAATTGTCCATAGCAAAGTTTATTTATCTTATAACATGACTCAAATGTTTCTACTTCTACATTCTTACATGATTAAAAATTATCTGGACACAAATATTTAAATATAAGGTAAATATTACATTAATATGTGCTTCTTTTAATTCAAATTAAGATTTCCAAGACCACAGATACTTTAAATATATGTAAATAAGACAAGTCTTAAATGTAAAAAGCAGCATTAGATAGGGAAAAGAATACGCTAGCATTATAAATGGCCCTATATTAGCCCCAAAAGAGTCAATTTACCTCCTAAAAACAATTTCTGCTCATATGAGGCTCATGGAAATGACATCTGAATGTTTTTTAAAAGATAGTATAAAGAAATATAAATTATAAAAATTCTATCAACTCTAAAAAATTCTACCAACTGAAATATTTCTTTTTTTTTTTTTCTTTTTTTTGTACTGGGGATCGAACTTGGGATCTTGTGCTTATGAGGCAGGCGCCGGAACCACTGAGCTAAATTCCCAGCCCTGACATATCTCTATTAAAGGTGAATCCTAAGAAACCTTCAATTGCATGAGTCGAACTATAGTTTGATATTCTTTTAAATACCACTTAGAAGAGAAAAGAGGGAAAATATAGGGAAGAAAGGAGAAAATAAAAAGAGAGAAACCTAGAAAGGAAGATTATTCTATAGGACCACAAAGGAATGAAAAAAATAAAAAGAAACACCTGAAAAGCAAAAGGCATCTAATTATAACATCAAAATTTAAGTGCTGTCGCATCATAAAATGAAATGACTACAATGGTAAAGCATGCTGAATTAAAATGCATTATGGTTATACTAAATCAAAGCAATCCAATGCTCTCTACACCCAACATAGCAGTACCAGAACCTACAATGATAGAAGTGCTTGCTTACTTTCAGGGAATTCAAAACATTCATGATCACTTCTGCTTTTATTTATCTTTTCACTCTGACATAAATTGAGCAGCAATGCTCCATTTTAAACACAGAAGTATATTAAATATACTCTGCTTAAACAGGGAAGCCAGACAGCATAGTAGTTACTTGTTTAGGTTCCACAGTTAGACTCGAAACTTCCAAGTCAAGGTTTAGCATTTACTAAATGTATGGCCAGGGCAAGGTACTAACCTCTTCAGGTCTAGTTTTCTCTTCCCTAAAGTAGATCTAATTAGGTACTTCAGGGATTCAGTAGTTTTAGGGGGTTAAAGGAGACAATGTGTACATCATACTTATCACTGATCTCATAGTCTCAATAGAGTGGACCCTTGAATTATGACTGGCTTGACATAACAGCTTGGGTTACGACTAGAATTTTAGCTTGAAGTTACAAACAGTCTTGAGTTACAACTGAATGTCAGCCACTTGTGCTTCCAGATGGTCTCAGATACAGATTTAACCCTTAAAGAGTTCTAGAAGGAACACTACAACATCCTTTCCTGTGTGGGGTTGAGAAATCCTGGGCCAATGTCTCTCTGAGGACACTGAGATCTGCCTGTATACAGGAAAGAGACTTTGAAGGCTGTATAGAGGAGTCTGAGTCTTCAATTCACCAACTTGAGTTACAACCAGCCCTTGGGAATGAATTGAATTCATAAGTCAAGTGTCCATTGTAGATGGTAGCAAGTTACATATTGACAACAATAAAAACAGCCTATGATAATAAAAAGTTCAAACCCCAGGACTCTTGGCTCCAAGGATATTTTCCTTAGTCAGAACTGCTGTCCCACTCATTAAACATTTTACTTTATAGAAAGAGACAAGCAATTCAATAAAATAGCCCCACACTTTCTCTCACCATGACTGTACCATAAATATTGTACCTCGCTCTTAAAAAATATAAAATATTATTCTATTTCACAAAGCTTTCTGAATAAAACTATGACTATGTAATCATACATTACAATTCCACTTTATAACTATATATTAGGAAACTGACTGAAAACGTAAGGCACAATGAGAACTCATAATTACTTTCAATTTATCTATTGAGTCCCTGGAGAAAGTTTTACAAGCTGCATCAATTTCCTTTCCTATCACTCCAAGAATGGATTCTTGTTCAGTCTCCAAGCAAAGAAGTTGATCCTTAAGCTGCAATCTCGCCTCTTCCATCCTCCTTAAGTGCTCTTCTTCATTGCTTATATGTTTTTCCTAAGGCATTGATAAGAAAAAAAACAAAGATTCATTACTATCTAGAACAAAGAAATACATATAATATCTATAAAAACAAAGAAATACATCAGAAAGGAGATCTGACTTTGTCAGATCTAAAATGAAACACTCTACCTATTTTCTAACTGAGGTAAGTTACAGAGTTCAGAAATAAAAACATTTGGAAACAGGTGGGCAGATATTTAGTAAACAATATTACTGTAATTGAAACACCGAAGTTGAAAAAAATTACTGTACCACTTTCACATTACCATTAACAGATAATAAACTAAAAGCTAACATCACAAAGTGATTTTGAGTTTGCCCTAAACATTAGTAAAATACAAGAAAATATAAAGTGTCAAGTATGATGCCACTAGATTCATTTGGGGAAAAAAAAACAAAACGTTACCACCTTTATTTAGTAAAATTATTTTTTAGAAAACCTAACTCTTCAAATGTGGTCATATTACATAAATGCTTTTGAGATATGAAAATCTGATGAAACATGGGCATATAATCCAAGAAAGCAAATACATTTACTGAAAAGAGCTTTTCAAAGAGTTTTCTAAGAGATTATATAAGACTTAGGGGCCTATTCTGGACAAAGCAAGTCCCAATCACTAGGCTTACACAATTTCATTACAAATTGACCATTCTTAATTCAAAACAACAAAATCTAAAATGCCCACTAATCCAAAACTTTTTGAACACCAATATGATACTATACAGTTTCAGAGTTTGTAGCATTTTGGAGTTTGGGTTAGCGATTTCTCAACTGGTAAAGTCCATGCAAATATTCCAAAATAAAAAAAAATTCAAAATCTAAAACACTTCTGGTTCCAAACATTTCAGACAAGGGATAGTCAACCAGTTCTAGAGAAACTCAAAGTGGTACTACAAAAGGCTTGTAATAAAATATCAGAATCACGAGAATTGTACAAACAAACAGTAAACCAAACTCATGATTCCTGGCTATTAATGTCTTCTATCATTGCATACTATACTAATCATCTTTAACTACTCTATTAAATGCAATAAAACCAGGAAAATCCTGAGGGCAACAAACCCCAGACTGAATGTAGAAGATATAACAAGGAGATTCACTCATTAAAACTAATGATGAAAGGCAGAATAATGTTTAGCAAATAAAACACAAATCATATTTCTCAATTGAACTCATATTAAACAATGAATAAAACTTCCTCTTCTCAAAAAGCAGACACTTGCACAATTTACCTTCTGCATTTATTTCTAACCTCATCTTCCTCCCTTCTAAATTACCTGGTACTTTGATTCCCTACTTTCTCAAGCATCTGTACCAGTGTTTCCCCTGACCACAGCTGACTTACATAATTCTACCTGAAGTTGTAATACTTCAAATGGTGCTAGTAGCCAAGAGACAGCATTTATCTTGATGAGTTCACCTTATTCCATCATCCAGGTCTGGATCTCAGCTCTGCAAACTTAGGAAGTGGAGTTTCTTTTCTTTCAGTGCTCTGAGTGGAGTCATCTTGCAGTAGGAGAATAACATTAAGCTCACAAGAGACTAATGTTCAAACCTGAATGCCATTCAATTAACAACATTCGTTTACAATGAGAACCATACCCGCCATATGGATCAGAATGCTAGGGTCAGCATAACTAGTACATTGTCTCCCATAGACTAAACTAGATGAAGAGGCAAATTATCATAGAATGTTGCTTAAGGAACAGGAAATCAGAGCAAAAAGATTTCTTTTTGTAAAGTAATGTTTAAAAGGCATCAGGCTAATGGCAGCCCAGGAGGTTCATCTACACATCAGGGATTTATAAACCACAACAGCAGTCGTGTTCTATTCTTCTGGGCAGTGCAGGGATAGACAATGCTGGGGAATATCTCTCTTTCTCCTTTGTCTATATTTGGTGTCTGTCCAAATTCTCCTCCAGACTAATATACTACTTCTTTAGATCTATCACTATTTTCCCCAAGATTTACTCTCATACAGGAGCCTTTCTAAAAAAATTAACATCTTGGCTCTGAATAACATTTGGTAGGTAATTTTATAGCTTATTTATTAGAAAGCAACCATACTGCCTAGTCCTTACAGATACTTATCTTTCTACTAGTCCTATATATCCATCATCTATCCTTCTTATCCTTCAAAATTCATGCTTCAAAACCCACTCTCCTTTCTTTCCTGCACTGCCAAAAAAAATTATTCCCAGGACATTATTTATATCATAGTATTAAAAAATTAACAAGTTGTAACATAATTCTTTGTGCTCTTATCTCACTCAATAAACTGTAGCTTCGGAAGACCATGTGTATTTATAATTCCCTTTAAACTACTCCACTTTGCTGAATACTGTATGTGCTTTAAACACTTTTTGAGGACTCAAATTCAACACTGTAAAGGTAACTTCATTAATTGTCCCACAGATCTGTATCCTCAGAGGCTACTAGAAGGTTTCCCACTACATAGGACCCCCAGATGACTGTAATGGTTGTATGTTAATAATGCAACGTTAATAAAGAAAATGCTCTATCAGAGGTTAGTGATGTATTAGAAGACTCCCTGGATTCTAAATCCAAACAATTCACAATGATGTTCTCGTGGACCTTTTTATTTTTGATTTCCTCACACCCATCTCTTCTATCTACCACCACTTTTCTATGATCTCCATTACTTGACTTTTTAAGAAGAAAAACTTATTTCCATCTTTTAGTATTCTCAAAAACTGTTATTATAGCTCTGTAAGTTATATTATCTCTTTAGCAAAGGCAGAAAATGTGATTACCACATCATTATCCTTTGTGAGTCAGCATACTATATCCAATAATCCTTTGAAGTAAAAGTCACAGAACCATGGGCTCACAGGAACCTTAGAGATCAGTACCTGATGTTTCAGGAGCTTCTCCTAACATTTCAGGTAAATGGTCGTCCAACCCTATGTGAACATCTCAAGTTTCAAGGAACAGAGTAACTCACAAAGCCACAAAATCTACTCATTACAGTAAGTACTGTACTTTAAAGTACACACATGAATTCTCCACTCCCACTAAACCTCTAACATTCCAGGAAAACATTCCTGTTCTTTCCCCCTATATTTTTTTTTAATTTGACTAGGTTTCTGACATTACTCCATACTGATCTCTATCCTCTGCTTGTACTCCAAGGGCTTCAATAAAGAGTTAAGGAAATACGTAAGCATTACTAGGGTTTGGATGTGGTACCCCCCGCCCCAGTGGTTCATGTGTTGGAGGCCTGGTCCCTATTATGGCAATGTGAAAGACAATGGTATCACAAGACAGATCCTAGTAGAAATCATTGGAAGTGTTGTCCTCAGAAGGAGTTAATTTTGTCCTCTTAGAACTCTGGTTAGTTCTCATAAAAGCGCTTATAAAAAACCAACACTGGCCTGTTCCCAGTTTATTTTTGGTTTCCTCCCTCACCATATTATCTCTCTAGCTTGCACACTCTTCTACCATGATGCTATCCATAAAGTGATGTCAGGGCCACTAACAAGCGGCCAAACAACTTAATGTTGGACTTTTAGCTTCCAAATCTATGGGCTACATAAAAATCTTTTATATATATATATATTATTCAGCCTCAAGTTTTGTTATAGTAACTAAAATAAATCTATTACAAGCAAGAACATTTTTCTGTGTACTAAAAAAAGAGTAAATGTCATAGGCATGACTTTTTGGTACATATTTGCCATACATAATGATCACATTCAACATAGGGAATTTGTACCTGTACATAGTATAGACAGACATGACTTCTCCCCTCACAGAGCCAACAAATCTACAATTCTCTCCAAGAAATTTCATCACTTTTGTTCTACCCCAATCTAGTTTTGGAACACCTACAATGAACACTAGTTAACTAGTGCCCATGATTAACTCTTTTTCTTAGTTTCATAATTCAATAAAAGCTCGGGGGGCGGGGGGGGGGGCTGCACTAAATGGGAAAGCAAATCTAATTCCAGGAAATGAATGGGGCAAGAAATTGGCTAAAGTGAACCAAATCATTCTAACAGATTTGAGGATGCTCACGTTAATGAGGGCATATGATAATCATTAGGCTTTATTAGCAGATTCCTTAACTTTTCTGAATTCAGAAAGGGTAATATCCAATGACCCTATAACAATACTACCATATTTTCAGAGAACCAGATGTAAAACACAGTATTTTAGAATTCGTTTCAAAATATAGAAGAGATAGTCTACCTTCTGTCGTTTAGGATAAACAGACACAGATGCCCGGGGGCAAGGGAATATAAGGAGGGTTAGGGAATGAGATGGAACAAACATAGTAATCTAGGGGATTCAAGAAGATAGCTTTCCTTGACAACGTCCAACCTGGAGAAAAAACCCGAGAGAATAAATCCAACCCTTAATTTGTGAAATCAAGAAATCAAGGCAATTAAGTAATGTGGTTGAAGTGAAAGAGCCTACAAGCCAGGACCTGAGTACTCTGTGTCACTGACTACAATTCTCTCTTAAAATGCTAAAAAGACAGTTCTTAAAATGGGTACTGAGAAAGACAATGTGAAAAACTCAGAAAAGTTATCAGTACATAGGAGCTAATGTAGTATTAAAGTAGAATAACAAAAAAATTCCAAATAAGCATTATTATAAATGAAAATATATGACATTTGGTATATTTACAATAGATTGCCAAAAAAGCACATCTAATATAGACAATATCTCAAATTACTAAGGGCTGTCTAGCTACCTACCTACCTATATGGTCATAAAATTTACTCTTGGTCGATTTTACTTTAAAAAGGTACTAGTAACCCACTAAGCAAAGTATACTAAGCAAGGTATATTGGCAAGATGGCACAGGTTTTATGAAGCTTCCATTTTATGACAGGAAAGGCTTATATTTTTGGCACTTATGTCTAAAAGAAGTAAAAAGTAAAAGTGTCTACAGTCACATTGCGCATGCACACACACACAAATATTGACTGGCTTGATCACTTAGTTGACCTGTAATTCCAAGGTT